GTTCTCAGTGATTTGATACAGTCCGAGAGAGACGAGTTAGATTGAAGTTTCGATTGGTTCAAATTTGGATCAAACTTTCAACATGGAATCTAATTTTATCTAGTAACCAAAGGAACCCCAACAACTTGGAACTTGGTTCAAGATTTATCAACCTATATTATATATGTGAATAATTGAATAATATCTATATCATGAATTTGGGAGTCTAACCAAAACTGATTCTCTTTTCCTATTTGTATAGGTAGAGACATAAACTAAGACCCAAAAGAAAATGCCTAAAATCCTTATAAAAAATGGACCTAATTACAAGGAAGGAACAAAAAAAAGAAGAGTGAGAACGGTTCTTATATCTTGTGACTATAGAAAGTAGAGAATGGGAGGTGTCTTTTAAGTCAAATAATAATGACAAATCCCTTCATAAATTGTCTACCCACTGGGCATTACATTACAAAAACCTTTGGTTGCTCCCATTGTTTTCACTCAATAATTACAAAATATGGCTATGTCCAAGTTTTTTCCCAAATTTTTTATGTCAATAATTAACAAAGGTTTAATTTAGTGGCTACTAAACGATTATAGACTAACATTCTCTAATGTTAATAGACTAGAGCTTGAGAATGTCGGGACTTTCTCTGATGTACGCATTAATGTTAGATATTTTAGCAACTTGATCTGAGATTTTGAAGAAAAAAAAATGGTGCAAGACATGATTCTTAAAAGTAGATTACATACATTTCAGAAAGCTAAATTTTGACCAAATAGGGAATATGACGAATGGATTATTTGGAATACATGTAAAGAAAATCACAACGAAGTTTTTCTATCGTCCCATAAAATATTGATAATCGCATCTTTCGAAAAAAATAAACATATACGACAATAATTATTGGAATGTTTTTTTAGGGGTAAAATTATGGGAAAGTTATGATGGTCTTTGATGTTCCGTCGTACGTCATATATTGGCTACACCATATAAAAACACGTCTAAGAAATTCAAACAAAATTTCAAGTTTATTGTGAAAGCTCTTTTTGTATAACCACAAAGTTCATGGTTTTTGGTTGATAATCAGTTTTGTTGTAAACAATATTTATGGTAGACGCTCAAAGCGTGAATTAGGGCTAACAAATATATGTATATGTAAAAAAATTATGGCGAGAAGGATTATAACAAGAGATTTTGCATTAAACTTTGCAAAGAGCAGGGCCTGAGTTCTTAGTGCTTTCTACAGTT